AAATGCCTCTCCCGCCACAAGAGAGAAGCACAGAGAAAGCACAGAGAGAGATAGAGAAAGTCCACCGGCGAAAAAGGGCTGGTGGCAGAGAGGAGGCCTCGCGGGGCCCACGCGGAGACAAATAAAGGCAAAGTTGCACACCGCCAGACTTTGTCGTGTGTCTTTCCTGCCGGCCGGGAGCGACCCCGACATTTGGTGGCCCGCACGGGGACTGATCAACCCCGAGACACGGCGGTGGTGTGCAACGCTCCAGCGTGGTGCTGCCGGACAGGTGAGTTGGGGATAAGCCTGGGCTCTGGGTGGCGCGCACCTACAGGGCTTTTAGACTCCCCTCAGGCTCACGCGTAGGTGACGGGTTCTTTAAGTCACACGCGGTGAGTTACAGCCATTAGAGGTTAAAAATGGGTAATTTACCGAGCGCGAAGGCGCGGCCCTTGGTAAAGGCCCTTAGGAAGCTTTTAAAAGCTAGAGACCTCAGGGTAGGTCAAAAAACACTGGAACTATTCATAGCAGAGATAGATAGGGTGGCTCCCTGGTTTTTACCCACAGGGCATTCAAACCTGCCGTCATGGGAGAAGTTAGGCGGGGACCTCGCCTCGGCGGAATTGGGAGGCGATATTTCACTGGCTATTCGCCCCCTGTGGGAAATGATACATGCGTGCCTTGACTCATATGCCGAGTTGCGCCGCGAATTGTGTGCGTGCGCCGCTCGAAAAAAGCAGAGAGAGGAAAAAGGACCCCTGAGCGCTCTCTGGCGGGGAGGAGATAGAGAGCCATCCGCTCCGCCCTGGAGCTCTTCTCCAAAAGCGGCTCCCCGCCGAGAGGCCGCTACAGGGAACCCTCCCTTCTCTCAGCCGGCACAGGAAGTGACGCCCCGTTCCACTCTGTCGCGACCGCCGTCCTATGACGTTGCGCCGCGGGGCGGACGGTATTTTCATGGGCGGCTACTCTGCCGAGCAGGCTGAGAAAAACGCCGGTCGAGGAAACGGGGGCTGGGGATTTAGCTTAGCGGCATAAGCGCCTGCCTTGTAAGCAGGCAATCGCGAGTTCGATCCCTGGTACCGATAAAAAAAAAAAAAAAAAAAAAAAACGAAAAAGACCAAAAATAAAAAAAATAAAAAATAAAAAATAAAAAATAAAAAACAAAAAGGGGGAATAAGCCAAGGCCTGCCTCCAAAGGCGCGGTTATCTATGGCATGACAATGGATGGGCCCGGATCCGGTGGTTAGCTGGAACCGAGGCGCGGTTTGTGTTTTTCCGCAGGAACCGGGACGAGAACCACTGTGGGTCCCAGAGAGGTTGACGCGACAAGTCCCTCGACTGAAGATCAGGCCTGTTCCACCAGAGGCCAACCGCAGACCCAACAACAAGATGAGCCCTAAAAGAACTGCAGGACAATCCCTTTTTGGGGAGCCTGGAATGGCTTGCTCCCCTATGTTTTACCATTGTTAGGTCCCCTGTGCTCCTTGCTTCTGCTATTACTTGTAGGACCATTCTTGCTCCGATGGGTTACATCATTTATTAATGGGCGCCTTGCGGCGGCCCGGCGTCAAGTACGCCTGGTTGCCCATGCGGCCCTGGCAGCAGCCCGTGATGGGCACAATGACCCCCAGGCCTACGCATGGCTCGCTCGACTGGCCTACGACCGGGTCTAGGTGTGGCGGGTCTTCCGCACTCCTTCCCTATTGACACCACACAGCAGGGTGGGTGAGTCAATGACGGGTAAGAGCGTGCCTCCCCAGCACGACTCGACCTAAGCCAGGCCCCACCCCACACTGCACGAAAGCCGCTGGATTACTAGAATCTGCCCAGATCTAGATGCCTCTCCGAGGGGATCACACGGAGGGGCATGAGTGCATGCCTATGTGCATCCAGGTTCCGTCCAGTTCACTCCTGGCCCTGGAAAAAGGACGAGGGTCTCAAGGCCTTAGCGGACCCAGGGGCGGCCGACCAGGGTCCAAGCCAAGGGCCTACGGTGGGCCTCAACACAGGGCATAAGCCTCTGCACTCGATCCAGGGCGGGCTGCGATGCATACATTCATTCAAAATAAATAAAATAGGGGGAGATGTTGGGAGCCGCGGCCCAGCCCGGTCGTTTTACTTGGCGGACGTTAGGCCTGTAGGAAAGAGCAAAGCCTGAGCTAGATTACCCCTCCCATCGAGTGAGCCAAAATGGCGCCTGCTTCCTGCCCCCTGATTGCCCTGGCAACGTAAACAACCCGCTCTGTAAGATAGTCTGCCTAGCAACAACTGATGTTAGCCAATCAGCCCGCATCGCGCGCTTTGAACTGATTGGCCACTGTTACCCTATAAAAGTAAATGCCTCTCCCGCCACAAGAGAGAAGCACAGAGAAAGCACAGAGAGAGATAGAGAAAGTCCACCGGCGAAAAAGGGCTGGTGGCAGAGAGGAGGCCTCGCGGGGCCCACGCGGAGACAAATAAAGGCAAAGTTGCACACCGCCAGACTTTGTCGTGTGTCTTTCCTGCCGGCCGGGAGCGACCCCGACAAAGATTAGTTGGTGATATAGCTCAGTAACACAGTGCCTGCCTGGTAAGTGCAAGGTCATGAGTTCAAGTTTGATTCCCAGCACACACACACACACACAAAAGGACTGGACACTAGGCACATGACTGTGCCAAGCTACCGCCTGGGCCCTGCTCTATGTGTGAGGTAGCTAATGTGCCTACTTCATGGTGCTGGAAAATAGACTGTGTCCACTCCCAGAGAGGGGCAAAGCCAACTTCTGCTCTGATGAAGACTGAAGGGGTTCAAGATAACCTATAATGAATAGACTTAGGCAAGGGCTTTCTAAACAGAACCCCAATTGCACAAAGAATCAACAAATGGGATCAGATCAAATTAAAGTTTCTGTACACCAAAGAAAACAAGCAACAGAGTAAAGAGTCAGTCTACACAATGGAAAAGTTCTTGTCAACTATTCCTCAGGCAGAGGAATAATACCTAGAGATAGAAAGAACTGAAAAAAATTAGACTTCCTCAAAATGAAAAAAAAATTAAAAAGTGGGCAACTGAAATGAATAGACACTGCTCAGAAGAAAGAAGTACAAATAGTCAATAAATAAATATGGGGAAGGGGCTGTGGATTTAGCTCAGCTACATAAGCACCTGCCTTGGAAGCAGGTGGTCATGAGTTCGATCCCTGGTACCGATAAAAAGGAAAAAGAAAAAAAAATGTTTATAAATACGGGGAAAATGTCCAACATCTCTGGCCACTAGAGAAATGCAAATTAAAACAATGCTGAGATTCCATTTTATCCCAGAGGCAATGGCTGTCATCAATAAATCAAATAATAACAAATATTGGTGAGGTTCCATGAGAAAAGGAACCCTTCCACATTGTTGGTGGGAATATGAAATAGTACAATCACTCTGGAAATCAGTGTGAAGATTCCTCAAAAAATTACAAATAGGAATTTCATTTGACTCAGATATTTCCCTTCTAGGTATCTTCCCCAAAGAGTATCATATTACAATGATTGATACATACCTACGTGTATAGCAGCACAACTCATAATAGCTCTTTCTTGGAAGAGGCCTATATGTTCATGAACAGATGACTGAATAAAAAATATGGTATTTATATACAAGGGAGTACTAGTCTGCCACAAAGAAGGATAAATTTGTAGAAAAATAGATTCAGCTTGAAACCACGATGTTAAGTGAAATAATCAGACACTCAAGCTTATAAATATTGCATGGTTCCTCTTATATGAGAAATCCATAGTATACATAAATGAAGGAGCAAATTAAAAGATAGATAATAGGAAACAAGGAGATAGGGCTTTTGCAAAAGGGAAGATGACAAAGAGACAGAGGGAGGGGGAATGCAGTGAAGTGGAAATGAATGAAAACAGAATTAAGAAGTGTTATGTACATGTACCAACCTCCTCGATGGTGGATATAATCATTATTTACTGCGAACAAATGCTAATAAAGATAAAATTTTTTAAATAGAAAGAAACACAAAGGGGATGGACCTGTCAGAAAACTGTTGAATCCACATGGAGCTTCCAAAAGAGAAGTAAGGAAATTTCCTCTTCATCTTGCAAGTTTCAGGAAGCTGTGGGGGGGACCTTGAGCGGAGGAACAGGCGTAGTCAGTGGTGGGTTCCCGGAAAAGCCTTCCGTCTTTCTATTTGTGGAGACTCTAACTCGTGAGGATGGAGCCTGCTTAAGACTCCACCCATTATGAGGAGAGGGGGCTATTAATACACTGATTGGTCCTTTAGACGTGACAAGCCTGGGCAGGAAGGTAGCAGAAGGCACAACTTTCAGCTGTTTATGGTGGAAGGTTTTGAATCTCAACTAGTGTTGGCAGATTGTGAGTCAGAAAGAATCAGCAGAATATGTTATTTGCATTCTCAGAAATGCAGCATATCTTCCCCTGCTAAAACCAAGCCCAGAACTCAAGGTCTATTTCTTAGAAGCAGTAACAGTCTCTCTACTTACCAGCTAAAGCTTGGTAGCCACCTGTACTTCTAGAGCAAAGGATAGGCTGACCCTATCGGTAGCGCTAGAGACTGAGAAGCAGATGACTCCTCATTCCTACCTCACTGGCTTCTCACACCCAGTCATCTTGACAGAGTGATTCTCAGAGCTAAAATGTGCCTCTCTGCAGTGTCCAACCAATGGTTTTAGTTTGGCCATCAAGAAAAAAAAAAAAAAAGACTTCTGTTGAAAAAGAAAGCCATGGAGATAATTTCAATGTGTTATAGGCAAAGAAACTTGCATCTATTTTAGTAGTTGCTAATCTCATCTTTAGTTACTAGCTGCCCGGATTTCTAGTAAATGATAAAAAGTTACAACTCACAAGAAGAAAATCACTCCCGGAAAACTTTTCAAATTAGAGGCCATAAAGAAGGCAATAAGGTGTAGTGACTTTCTTGAGTGTTATACCTGGCCATTAAATCTTGTAGAAAACTAGTGTTTGCTTAAAGATCAAAATAGTACAGGGACTGCCAGCGGCAGCTGAGTGGAGCAGGAAAAGAACCAAGGAGTCAGCCTGCCCTTCCTGCGAGCCAGCGGCAGCTGTGGGCCAGACAGAGAACCAACAAGTCAGCCTGCCCTTCTGTGAGCCAGCCAGCATGCAGGCTGGGAGACAAGAAGAGCCCCCCACCCTTTACCCCTCCAGGCAACCGGCTGATTCAGAGTAACTCAGACTGGGATAACTGAGGTACGAAACTGAGGTACAAAAACAAATTAATGCTTGTATTGATTGATTGACTTTGCAGGCTTCAAGCTGATAGTCTGTGCCTTTGTTTAGAGGACAACAATATGTAATGTAGCAACTATCTGGCACTTTTTTCTGTCTTGTTTTCAAAATCCAATATTATTCTTGCTGTTCCATTTATTATTTTATTTTATTCTCTTAAAAAAACACATCTCTGGGAGGTGACCATCAGTATGCAGCTGCGGGCATAAAACTAGTTAGAAGATTTAGACTGAAAACCGCTTGGTTTATTCCATTAGTATGCAGACTTGATCATGAAATTAATTGAGAGACCATAAGTGGTAACTTTTAATTATTGACTTGCTTTGAACCTGCTTGTAGATACTGAAGTATAAATATGAAAATTTATTTTAAATATGTTGGTCTGCCTTTGTAGGAACAAGGGATAGCTTTCTATTTTCTGACATCATCTTCAATCCCCTTTGAAAACTTTGAAAACTACTTTTAAGAGTAGTTTTCATTATAGAGGTATTTCATTTCTTTGGATGTTACTTCTAAGTATTTAACTTTTTGTGATGCTATTATGAATGGTATTAGTTTCTTCATTTCTTTCTCAGTGAGTTCTTTGCTGGTGATTTGGGATGCTGCTGCTTTTTGTATGGTGGTTTTGTATCCTTTTGCACTACAGAATTTGGGTATTACTTCTAAGAGTCTTTGGTAGAATTTTTTAGGTCGTCTATGTAGAGAATCATTTCATCTGCAAATAATAACTTGATTTATTTCTTTACATATTCTTTGTGTTTCTTCTTGCTTGATTCTTCTGGCTACTGTTTCAAGGACTACACTGAACAGGAGCGGTGATAATGGACATCTTTGACTCTTTCCTAATTTTAAAGGGAAAGCTTTCACCTTTTCCCCATTTAATATGACGTTGCCAGTAGGTTTGTCATAAATGGTTTTTGTCAGATTGAGAAAAAGTCCTCTATACCTATTTTCTTCGAGGGTTTTTTTCATGAAAGGATGTTGGACTTTGTCAAAGTGTATCTCTGCATCATTTGAGATGATGATGTGGTTTTTCTTCTTGTTTCAGTTTATATATTGCGCTTACCTGTTTATGTGTGCTGAGCCACTCTTGCATCCCTGGGATGAAAATTACCTGATGAAAAATGAGTTGCTGCATTCTATTTTCCAGGATCTTATTGAGGATTTGCATCTATGTTCGTTAATGAGAATGTCCTGTAGTTATTTTTTAGTTGGGCCTTGTTTTTGGAATCAGGGTAATGTTAGTTTTCAGGAATCACTTTGGGAGTACTTCATCCTCTTCTGTTTCATTAAAGAATTTGAGAGATATTGGCATTAGGTGTTCTTTGACATTCTCATCCTCTTTGTGTTTGCTGCTTCCCAATATCTCAGATATGTCCTCCTCTTGAAAACTATGCTCCTCACTTCTACCATACCCAGATGATTGTTTGATCTTCTAATATGGAAGTTTTGCTTTAATTAGAATACAATGTAGGAATTTCATGGTTTCAGGCAGCAGAAAACCCAAGCCAATTGGATCTGACATTACAGGGGTTAATTGAATCACGTAATTAAAAGGTTCAAAGGTAATATTAGGTGTAGGCTGCTTGTTATCATCAAAAACTAAGATTTACCACTACTGGTCTAAGAGTTCAAACAATATACCTAGTTACTATGGTCTGGGTATGGTTTGAGTGGATTCCCCACAGGCTCAGGTGTTAGAAGATTAGTTCCCACTCTGGTGATATTAAGAGGTGACAGCGCCTTTAAAAGACGGGCCCCAGTGGGATGTAATTAGACCATTGAGGGCACTTTTTTTTTTTTAAAAGGAAGGATGTAGTTCTCGGGAGATGTTGCTTAGTTCTTGTTAGAGAGTTGTTACAAAGGAACAAACCTGATCCCTGAATCTCTCTTGGGCTTCCTATCTATCCATATAATCTCTTCCTCTGGCAGGTGCTACTGTCAATGTAATACCATCCACCATGAGGTCTTCAGCAAAACCAAGCCAAAACCAAGCCAAAGGGATAGCCCTTTCCATTTCCATGTGAAGCCATACAATTCTTGCCAGGAGCCACAACTCCCTTATGAGACTGTAATTCCCTCAGGGGCTTTCCTAAATATTGCCTCATCCATCACACTACTGGCTGGGAAAATACTGATAAATGAATTCATTGTAAAGTGTGAAAGTCTGAAGGTAGCTAATCATGTCTACTTATTTTCTGACCTGAGTGACTTGCATTTTCAGTGGGGCACATAGTATATTGATCCAAAAAAATGAAGCACAAATATGGAATTTCAGAACATGTGACAGACTGACAGAGAAGACATGTTTGAAGTTTTTCTCTCCCTGTGGGGGAGACTGGACATGCTGTGCCTCTAACATTAGATAGAAAGAGGCCATGCTGACACTTTGTCACCTCTGAGTCAGCACCTACTATCTTAGTTCTGAGATCTGACTTTAAGTTCTACCTATGCCCTGGTTTTCTCCTTGTGCTGTCTCTTTGCCAGGCTCAATCATTTCTTTTCTCTCCCTGCTGGGTGGCTACCACAGACAGACTCTCTCAGCTCCCCTTTTTGTCTCATTTCTGGGTTTGGCTGATGGGAGAAAGCAGTAGAAGACTAGAAGGTGGAGGAAGGAATGGTCTGAAATATTTTCTTCTGTATTTGTTCCCTGTTCCAGTGTCATTTCTCAGCAATTAGATGTGTCCCCTGTAAATACATCTTTTCCCCTACTCTCTGAGAACATCATTCTTCCTCTTGATCCTCAGTCTGGGAACGTTGATGAACTTCCCGCTGGATACTGCATTTTAACTTGTTCATTACTGTACTTGCAGAAGGGAAGCTGCCTTCCTTTCTGAGAGGAGCCTTACATTCCTGTCTGTTCATCTGCAAAACTGTTGTGAACTCTGTGCCTTGCTGGGCATCTGACTGATACAATCCAACACTGCAGGAAGAAACAGCAAATACTCCCCTGGAAAGGCAAGCCCCTGGCCAAGCTTGTGCTTCAAACTTTCTTTGTCTCTCACTGGGCTACAGTGACTTTATATTATATCAATATCTCTCTAAAAATAACCGCAAAAAAGGACTCAAAGCATCATGAACCTGAAAAAAGTTCAAGTTCTTCCCAAGGGGTCACACTGAAGAGGAGAGTGGAAGTATTTTATAAAAAAGAACAAGCTAGTGGAGCCTTAGTTTTATTATCTGGGAAACTGATATCTGGGAAACAGTGATTTCCTCATTGTACCTGAACTCTGAGAGGCAAAGGTCCTGGGTTCAATCTCCAGTACTAGAAAACAAACAAACAAAAAAAACTTCTTGAAACATGCAAGATGTGTGTAGGAAAACGCAGTTATTGTGTCAATGATTATTGTTATAACTTGGGCCCTGGTATAAAATCCAAAGAGGCAAGAGACCGAAAATTTAGGAGGCAAAGGCTGTATTTCCAGGCCTGGCGACCAGTCTCTGGGAGCCAATTTGGAGACTGTCCCCCAGAGATTGAAGGGAGGACTTTAAAAAGAGGCTGGAGGAAAAGGTGGGGGGGGGGGGACAATGAAACTTGCATAGCCATCAAACTTGTTGACCCGAGTCTGGAAACTGTATTACTGTCCACTTACCTCTGACAATCTCGAGAGTTCCTGGTGTTTCTCAAATTACTCCCATCCTACAGACTGACATTATCTCGGAGTGGCACATCTGCAGCAATATTTGGGGAAGAAAGTGGACAGTTAATTACCCCAGGACAGCTCGTTTTCACTAGTGGGTGTGAAGAGGTCAAGAGTTACAAGAAGCTGAAACTTAAGTTTTACAAAGATCTGATATCTAACTCATTTGATGCATACAGAACAAAAGGAAAGCACCAATTAGGGTTTGGGCCATAGAATTTCTCGGTAATTTCTTTGAAGCTAAACAGTTCTTAAACTTTGGGGCAGGCTCATTTTATGACAGATCATCACCGGGTCGGGAAGAGGTCACCAGAAACCCAAATTCTTTATGGCCTAGATAGATAGGTGAGGGGAGAGGGAGGCAATAAGGCGCCATACAGAACAGAAAACGGCCGTTATGTGTCAAGGTCAGGGTAAAGGGTTAAACTCACATGCAAATCTCTCTGTACACAACCAGGTTACTTTAAACAAATGTAAATTAATGGGCCCTTCTAGTTTTCTTTAGCTCTTTAGTGGAGAATAGAGGTACCTAACAGTGATTAACAACCCTTGTTAGCTTGTTTTAGCACAACTTCTGTAGTTTGTAGAGGGCAACAATGGTTAACATATCAATTAGGTGAGATTCTTGCAATTCTTTACAGAGTAGAGTGTTGCTCAACATATCAATTAGGTCGCTTAACATATCAGTTAGGGAAAAAGGATAAAAAAAACACATTTAGTAAGCCACTTTATAGGTTTGCTATAATACACATATAATGAAGCTATTGTCTTAGAGTACAACAATTATCTCAGGAATTCCTGTCTCTTTACTCCTCCAAGAATCACGATGAGATGACATTTCTGATTTCTTTGAAGTTCTACTAGATTTCTCTTCAAGCACATTTTGGGAGAAGTCTGCTAGGACCCCTCCTTTGGTTACTGTTTTTGAGATTATTGTCTCCTTGCTATGGAACTCAGCCCAGCCTGGGCTGCTGCTGGCTGCTGGGTGTGGCTAGGGGTGGAACTGGCAGGGTGCCTGGGTCTAGTGTTTAAGGGAATATAAAGGAAGCTGGAGGCTGGCAGAATTCAGGCACAGAAACTTTAGCCATGGCACCCCCATTTCTCTCCCCAAGCCTCTCCTACCTGAGCCTGTGGGCTTCTGGAGTGATCTTGGCCATAGTCTTCCTCAAGCTTTTTCACCTGCTGCTGCGGAGACACAAGTTGGCCAAGGCCATGGACAACTTCCCGGGACCCCCAACCCACTGGCTCTTTGGGCATGCCCTCGAGGTATGTGGGGAAGGGTGGAGAAAGGAGATGGCTTTCTTTCCTTAAAGAATCAGGCTTAATCCTTTGGGGGCTTTGGAGGGACATCATCAACCTGGGTAGAAGCCCACATCCTGGGAGCTGCGGTTTCTATCAGAGTTCTGTCTGGAACTGCTTCCTCACTCCTGCTTTTTGAGTTGATGCCAGAAGTAGCGAGCATGTCAAAGTAGGTGCCCAAACAGACCAGATTCCTTCCCATTATTCTGAAGCTCAATTTTCAGACAAGTTTGTACCAAAGGCTCCATGTCAACACAGGGGAGAACCCAAAGCCCTAATAGTCACATAGGACTAGAAAATCATGTTTAGTGTCATGAGCATCCTCTTTCCCCTCTGTAATGTAATATTTCCATTTCTCAGGCAGAAAATGAAAGTGAAGGCAGAGGTAAGTGCAGCCACACAGATCTCCCAGTGTCCAGGAGGCTGGTATTTCCCAAAGGAGGAGATTTTCTTTGCCATACTTCTGGTTGGTTCTGGAGTCATGGCATTTTTCTAAGTTCCGATTCAGGCTTCTCTTCCTTTTAGGGACCATCTTATCATCTACTCTGAGGCATGTCTTCTGTCATAGGGGCCCAGATCAGTAGTTTCTGAACACAGCGCAAGGAATTGGAGTCCATGGAGAAACAAAATCCTGGGCCGCCAGCACCTGGAAATTCTAATTTGTCAGAATAGGACTAGGAGACTGAGTTTATTTTCTATTTTTAAACTTTACGTATGTATCTAGTATGCGTGTACTTACTTACTTTCTATCTTTTTTTGAAAAAAGTTCTCGCTATTCAGTTAAAGTTGGCCTTGAGCTCACTTTGTAGCCCAGGCTGGTTGTTAACTCACAAGGATACTCCTACTTCAAGCCCCTACCCCCAAGTGCTGAGATTACAGGTGTGTGCTACCACACCCAGTTTAGGAGCCTGAGTTAAAAAAAAATCTCTCCACATATTCAAATCTGAAGCCCGGTTTGGAAACCCAGATATAGATAGATCCCAACAACTAAGCGTTCTTGCAAATCATGCTTCCTGCTCCTACCTCCTGAATCCTCTTTTCTCACTCTCGATTTGGGGAATTGCCTCCTTCTGCAATTGACATAGGATGTGGGACTGACCTTTAGGTTTATTCTGTTCCAAGGGATAATCCTTCATGGATAGGGAACCTATAAGCATCTAGGAATATTCAGGAAAAAACAGGTGAGCTGGGGGGAGAATCAGACCCTGCCTGGGCTCTCAAGGAGCTTGCTATCTGTGGGGGAAAGCATACATCAGAGCCTTCCCTGCCCTTAGGCTGGGTGAAGTGGCTCTCAGGATTCCATATCAGCTCTGTTCTTTTCATCTCAGTACTTGTCCATCTTCTATACCAGTCTGTGACTTCTAGAGAATGGAGATCTGGTTTGATTTATTCCTGTGCCCTCCAGGTCCAGCATAAAGTCTGGCACAGAAGACATACTGCCAAAAGAAACAAAAAGGAATGCTGGAGTATAGGGAGGGGAATCCACAGAGGAGAAAGCAAGTGACAGACAAATAAATGAAGGGTCAAAAGGTTTGGGAAGAGTCTGCCAAACATGGAAGGAGAATCATAGTGAGGCTGAAGCCTGACCCTAATGGGTACAAGAAGCATTTGGGAAACTTTCAATTCCCTTCTTCTTGTACTCACTCCCACTACTACCTGCCTCAATCAGAGGTGGTTTTGTCTTCAGCCAGTGAGCTTCCCTAGTGCAGGGGTCTTGATCTCCCCACAATTCTGTGCTGGAGTATCCTACCCTCTTCCCTGCAGTGACCCCTGCACCTCTACTTTGGAACTATGTGTCAGGACTAAAACATAGCCTCACCTTGGCCTCTTGGCTCTAACAAAATTGTCTAAAGTGCTTTTTTTTGGCACCCAGAAGGCATGAAAAGATGAGAAGGGTGGCTGCACTTAAGCATCATAAAAAGTTTCCTAAGGAACCTTCAAGCAAAATAGCACTGCATTCCTTCTGGACTTGGCACTTGTACTGAAGGTTGGGTGTACACCTGAACCTGAAAAATGGGGAGGGAAGCTTGAGGATTAGTTTCCTTAATGTAAATATGAGTTAGTTGGGGTTTAGAGGGGACAAAGTGTTGCCCAAATCCATTTAATGACTTAGTAATTGAATCAAGGCTGGTCTCAGGATGTCCACATTTTAATTCAGGACATGACCAGGCCATAACAAGTGGCAACAAATTTGATTCCTAGGCCCAGTGAGGGGAAAGAAGGAATTGGGAATTGGGAAAGAAGGAAGAAGGTTGGTGGGTAAAGGCCCTCAGGGTGAGGAAGAGCTGTCCATCAGGATTAATTTCTCTCTTTTTGGTCTACTTTTACCCCTGAAGCCCTGGTAGTATCTATTTGTCATCTTACTCAGCTTGCAGAATGTGGCCCCTCGAGGCAGGGGCATGTTCTGTTCTTGCAGCATTCTCCTCATTCCACTCTGAGGTTGAAGGGGACTTGTGTGTATACAAGGTACTCATTGTTGGCCTAACACTGGGGCAGGCAAATTTGATCTGTTTCTGTCTGTGTCTCTGTCTCTGTTTCTGTCTCTGTCTCTGTATCTCTGTCTGTCTGTCTATCTCTGTCTCTTTTTCTCTGTGTCTCTTGTCTGTGTTTCTCTCTCTCTGTCTCTGCCTCTTTCTCTTTCCCAGTTTGTGTGTGTATGAAATGCCAGTTTCCAGCCCAAGGAAAAGCTATCCCCTGAGATCCTTGAGGCTTCCACAGCCTTACTCACCACTGGGATTGTCCTTCTCTCTTGTGTTGGGTAGAAAGAAGTTTGAATAATTTTATTCAGCAAACATTGATCATGACCTTTGCTGTGCCTTGTTTGATAGGTTATTTTCCCCACTCTATGCTTCTATTTCTTTGTTGATTAAGTGAAGATACAGCAATCATCTTTACCTTGCTGGTTTAGAGTTACAAGAATAATCACTAGGCAAGGTGCTGGACAGATAAATATCAAATGCTAAACCATTGTGGAGAGAAATTCTTAAAGCAAAACACCCTGAGATATTTGCTCATTTTGTCCTTTTCTTTCTTCTCAAATCAGTTTAGTCTTTGACTTTTTGTTTTTCCACTTAATCTGGCCTTGCCTGATCAGCAAGTCCATGTCTGACCTTGTACTGACACCAGAGGATGAAGAAATAAGGCAAAGAGTTCCCTAAGGAACTGGACCTGAGAAAGGAATGGGAGACACACAAATTTGGGGCTTAGAGAAGGGAGCCTTTAGCCCGGTAATCAGGAGAAGTCCTGGGAGGTGGTGCTGAGATGATCCCCAAGAGGTCGGAAACAGCAGCCTGGAGAAGTGCAGAAGCAAAGGCAGAAGAGGCTGCCTGTGAACAGACACAAAACCTGGAGAGAGTATTATCTGCTTAGGACTTCAATTTGATTTTTGAGGTAGTCCGTGCTTGTGTCAACTGCTTAACATATTTGGACTGGTAAGAGGGAGGACAGAATAGAGAGGAAGAAGGTGGAGGTAGAAAGGGAATTTCACTTTCTACATGATCTTTCTACACGGTCAGGCCACGTACATCAGTCCAAAAGCCTTTGCTTTTTTGTGAGAGCAATTATGAAAGAGATGAGGTCAGACTCAGACTTGAGAAAGGTCACATTGGTTTAGGGTGGTGGACAGATTGACAGAGGGCAAACAGGAGGCAAGGTGGAAAGTAAATAGGAGGGAGGGTTCTTGGATGGAGCCAATCCAGGCAGACTTTGATTGGCCAGTGGGATGCAGAGGAATGGGGAATAGAGTAGGCTAGGACTGTTGTAATGGGCATAGAAGGCTTCTGCCATAGATGTGAGGGTGTCATTGAGGTCCCTTTCACTCATCAGGAAAAGGGGACAAAAATTTTCTTGGAACTTCGTTAACCTGGGGCATCAATATGGCTAGCTCAGCGCATAATTTGGCAATCTACCTAAAAAGAGAAAAGAACTCCTTGAGCCATGGGATGGAATTTGAAGGACTGTAACCAAGAGGAATGAATTCCTCTGTGTCAATTCAAATGTGGAGATTTGAGGCTGAGAAGGAGGAGGAGGACGAGGAGGAGGAGGAGGAGGAGGAGGAGGAGGAACAGGAGGAGGATACTGAGGCCTGTCAGAATCTTTCAGTGTCTGGATGTGGGAGAGTTGAGTGCTCAATTTGTAGAGCTTTGCGGTGGGAGCTTCTTTCTGGGAGCTGCTACATCTGGTTCTCTTAAGTCTACCTTGCTGATCTCAAAGTAAAAGTTACTTGGTGGGTCTTCAGCAGGAAGGGTCAGCCATCACAAGGGCTCCCCTTTAGCAGGGCTACAAATCTGGGAGAAAATCACATCCTGTATTAGTAGCTGGTACTGAGATAAGTAATGACATTATTCCTAGAGTTAGGAAGAGGGCAGATTTTGTGGGCAAATGAGATGTGTGTAAACACATGTATGCACTTGAGGCTCAAAATGCCAGGTCTCAGGAGCCTGTAGGATGTCATATATTGACATCTAGGGGGTTTTGATGATCCTTCTGGGTTTGGAAGAAAAATCAGCTGGGATGGGCTATCCAGTGAGGAATCATTGGCAGGTAGGTTGCAAAAGAAGCCCACAGGAAAAGATGAAAGCTCCAGGAAGAAGGTGCAGGATGGGGAAAGGCCAAGAGCACGTAGGACGTAGGAGAGCATCATCCTGGAGGATAATGTATGGATAGGGAATGAGGAGAAGGGGGGTGATCTAGGAGAGAGCAAGAAAAGGAGAGTCACTTATGGCACAGAAGCTGGCAGACTTCAGAGCTTAGTAACAGGAGGGCACTGAGCGGGTGAGGAGGTGAGGGCTAGAGCATGAGGAATCCCTTTGAGAAGTTTGGTGTCTTTCTTTTTTTTCTTTCTTTCCTTTTTTAAAAAATTTGTTTTTTAAGATGAGGTCTCTGCCAGGGATGATGGCACATGGCTGGAATCCGAGCACTCGGGAGGCTGAAGCAGGAGGGTCACTGTGAGTTCGAGGCCAGCCTGGGCTACAGAGTGAGTTCAAGGCAGTGCAGATTGCACAGCAAGACCCTGCCACAAAAAGATGGAAAGAAAAATAAAAGACAGGATCTCACTGTGCAGTGCAGGCTAGCCTTGAACTCATGGAGATCCTTGTGCCTCAGCCCCCCAAGTACTGGGACAACAGGTGTGTGACACTATGCCTGGCCCAAAATTTAGGTTTTGAAGGGGGGAGGAAAACTGAGTGCTAGCTGAAATAGGTGGAAGCAGGACCAAGGGAGGTTTGTCTCCTAACCCCTGTGTCTTTTTTCTAGTTGGTAAAGGCTTGAACATGTTTTAAATGTGGGTGGGAAGGATTTAGCAAAGAAGGGGAGACTGTGATGATGTAGGGAGATGAAGGGAGGGGGAAGGAGGACTCCAAGGGGCCTGGACTTGGATGAGGCCCCAGACACCCTTTTCTGGAACAGGAAGACAGGTGAAAAGGCTGGGTGCCGGTCAAGTAGTTCTTCAGGTTTGGCAGCTGACTTTTAGGGAGCCTATTGATGACTTCTATTTTCTCTGTGACATAGATCAAGACTCATCAGTGGGAAAAGGGAGCAGGGGACAGGGGTGGTGGTGGTGGTGGTGACAGTAGTCATGGAAAGAGAAGTATTTTTGAGGAACAGATTGTGGCCAATGTTACCAGCCTTTCTCAAAGGTGTTTCTGCCTATCTTTGCTCAAATGACACCTCAGCAAGGTCTTCTTTGACTTCTCTGAATTCCAAGCAGCCCTGCCCTTTTGTTCTCTTTATTTTTGTTCCTGGAGTTATCATTGACTGAAATTCTATTATTAGTGTATTCAATTCTTGTTTGTTTCCTTTCTCCTCACTTGCTATTTACATTTGGAGGATAGGCAAGTTTTGTTTACCATGGTTTCCCTAGGAACTAGCAATGCCTGACATGGAGAATATTTATTATTCTTTTGGCACGCCAACTCATGGCAGCAAGGTCACTCACATAGGCTAAGGATCAATGACTACATCTCTGTTGACTCAGGTATTTCTTGGGCTCCTTGCTTTCCTGACTCTTTAGGTTCCCCTGAACTCTGGTCCCACCTAAGTCACTCCAGGAGCTACAGTCTACCATTGGATCCTGAAGACAGGAGAGGCAAGGGATTCAGAACACAAGCTTTGGAATTGAAAGCCCTGGTTGAGATGCCAGTTGTGTGAAGGCCCATTGTTATGGCTTGCATCTAAATGTAACCCCAAAGCCTCCTGTGGTCATAGGTGGGGTTTTTCAGAGGTGGCTAGATCTAGAGTGTGTGATGCTGGGGCCAAGGGGGTGTGGTTACTAAATTAGTCCACTGGCTGGTTGGCATAGTGTGGGAGTGGGTAATGGGAAGACTCATCCTGGGTGTGAGTGCTACCTGCCCTTAGGACAAGTAGCCTGGACAAAATATAAGGGACAGAAAGAGGGCTGCTAGGGTCACTTGTCACTTGCTGCTTACTGCTTTTGCTGCTTCCGGCCTTCTATGCCACAAATTGTTTTTTTTCTCCTCTGGGATGCTCCTCTGCCTCCGCCTTAGAATTGGTTAACTACGAATTGAAACCTCTACAAACAGTGAACTAAATAAATCTTTTATCCTTTAACTTAGGTTGTCAGGTATTTTGTCTCAAGAATGAGAAAAGTAACTAAGACCCCCATTGTCACTTCTTAGCTGAAACATGGTGGCTAGGAGAGTCACAGTGGCCCATATAGATTTCACTCAAAGCCCTTTTGGTCTTTCTATTGAGCTGGAGGTTCTTTCTGCAACTTGCATATTCAAGTTCATGTGTACATTTGTCTCTGAAAGGGGGAATGGAGGATGAAGGCACCTGTTTGTTAACAGAGTGGGCTACGGCAACTTCTCTATAATGCCTCTAGTTCTTGAAACCTTATACCTTAGAACGCCTCTTTTCTATATCTGCTCAATCCTACAGCTGAATTACTGGTGGCTTGTGTAAATCAAATCTTAATAGTTATTTCAGAGATGTTGCTTCTTTTGGATTTTGGTTGATTCTTATTGGCAAGTGCTTTTAGTTCTCTAGTTTTATTTAAAATCTTGACACTGACTTGAGCTCAAGTATGTGCTGAGCCATGATCTTGTGTGTGGTGATAAAGTATCCACAGTGGGAAGAAAATCTAGACTAATGCAGCAGAATGCACCTTGGGATGTCCGTGCTGGAGGACAGCAGGTCCAGGCAGATCCCTGCATGGCTTCCTTGGACAGTATCATCCTGAGTGACCTTGGAAGATCATGGGGAAGGCTCCAGGGAGGTGGCTTTTAGTCCAGTGATTAAGAAGTCTTGTTAAGAATTTGAAGAGTTCAAAGGTAGCTGTTTTGAAGAGCAATAAATTTGCTGTTGCTAAAGCTGTCTGAACTTGGGAGATAGCGATTTTCATATGGTAGAAGTACTGGGTCAGACAACAGCTGGTACTGAGAATCTGAGATCAATATGATTTGCTTCCAGGGATTTCAAAATGTTGAGGAAGAGGAAAATTCCTATTCCCTCTACGACTATTGTTTTTCTAAATGGCTACCCCTACTTTGCAGGCAGTTTGTTTTTGTTATCAAGCAGCCATAAACATCTTGTTCCTTAGACGCTGGCCAACTGAGCTTCGGGTCATCTGGCCAGGAGGAAGAGCCTCATTCAGAGTCCCTGACTCAGCTGGAATAGTTCCCTTTGGGTTGTACTACTGCCACTTACAAAATGAGTTCATGGTTTGTCTGGATAGTGTTTATGCTTTTTCCGATTTTATTCTTGGAGCAAATTTTAGACTTCTGGGGAGCAGAGGAGTGACATGTGCTTGTTCATTCATTCCCTGTCATTATACATTCCTAGAAGAGTCAACAAAGAGGGCAAATGAGAGGACGAGGAGGGTGGAGCTGGAAAGCTGAGGTCAGTGAATGATCTTTATACTCTGTGCCTTCCCTGTTTTGTTACTTGTGGAGAAAAACAAGTTGGCCCAGCCCTCCTAGTAAGTGTCCCAGCTCAGGACATGTGAGGATAAGTCTGAGACATCCTGTTGTACAGTCCAGAGGAGCTGGCCTGCAGCCATATGAAATCCAAAAGGAAGAAATCATTGTCCTTTTGGAGGGGCTGCACTACAGAAGTGTGGTCAGGGAATCCTGGGAGCTATTCTTACTGTTCTTAGGTTCTTGGGGCAGCCAAGAACTCACAGGGCAAAATGGGAAACACAGGAGAAAGCTGGACCCAGGAAGACCATGGCAACCTGTAAGTGTCCAAGGTCAAGGTTAATGTGAAGTCAGGGTCTCTATAGTAGGGAAGTTTCAGAAGGGCACAGCATGGCCAGTAAGGAGGGAAGTGGGACTCAAATGAATGAGATAAGCTATAGGTTCTTTCCACCTTCAAGATCTTAGAGTCCGTTTTTTTTTTTTTTAATTTAAAACATTACCTACCATGTTATCTTAAGCTCCCTGGATGTGAGAGAGAAGGGGAATGACCATGGTGATCAGAAAGTTGGTAAGGAAAACCCAGGAGACAGATGGAAAAATAGAAGAGACATAAGGGGAGGGAGCACTGCCAGGGCTATCAGCTAAAAAGGAGGCAGAGACATCAGAAGTTTCTCTTTGCCTGTGAGTGGAGATGATTTTTATTCCTGTGTGTTCTTCCTGACATTGTGTGCTCAGGGTGATGAGAAACCTTACAACCATTTTGGGTTGATTTGGAGGGATGAATCTGTCTATGGGGAGATTATTCCAAACTGTACAAAGGGTCTGGGCAGAGAGGACTGCCCAGAGAAGGTACAACTAGTAGATGTGTTTCTAGGTTTTGGATGCTGGAGTCTTCTTCTAGAGGTAGTTTCTAAGTTCTTTCCTCCCTGAGCAAAGAATTAGTCAAAACAAGCACAAACTGTAGCAAAATTTTATTAAAAGAAGGGGAAAAAACCAGAGTCTGTAGAGCAGGTTTGGGCTAAATAAAAGTAAGAAAAGAAGTACACCCTACAGTGTGAGGGTGGGCCACCACGCTAGAGCACAACGCAGCATGGAGCATCCTTTTTGTATCATCCATTCCTCAGACTGCTATCAGTTTTGGGCCATTGGATTGAAGTCTTCATGAGATGTTCTTACAAGAAGTTTATGAGCAGGGGTTTGGAAACTGTTCTGCAAATGTGACCTGGGTTCTGGTGCTACCTCCTTTCTCAGCCAAGTTTAGCCAGCCCTACCTTCTGCCTCAGCAGGGGACCAAAGAAAGCCAAATCCTGAAGGCCCTTAGGGCTAGTGCTTGGGGGAAGACAAGGATTGGGGCTGGAGAGAAGGGGTACAGGAGGAAGGAGGAAAGCCCTGGAGGCTGTCTAGGCAGCCTCCTCCTTTTCCCTGTCCAGGAACCAGGGACCTGGATGGTGACTCAGTTCCTCAGGGGTCCTGACCTTCTGTCATTTCAGATCCAGAAGACGGGAAGCTTGGACAAGATGGTGTCCTGGGCCCACCAGTTCCCTTATGCCTTCCCACTCTGGGTGGGACCATTTATTGGCTTCCTGAACATCTATGAGCCTGACTATGCCAAAGCTGTGTACAGCCGAGGAGGTGAGATATCTCTGGAAGAGGGTGAGTCTTCCTGAGGGCAAAAGGCTCCGAACAACATGTGGGGAGGAGACCAGGGCTTGTGTCCTATATCTGGGTAGAAAATGATCAAGAGCACCACCCCATTCATCAGTGAGCCACCTCTGGAAAGCCCCTGTCCTGACAGGTCCCCTTTTTAACTCACTTCTCCATCTCTTGCAGACCCAAAGGCTCCAGATGTGTATAGTTTCCTCCTCCAGTGGACTGGTGAGTGAGCATCTGTTTTCCTTTCCCTTTCTTTCCCTCCTCTCCCCTTTTCTCCCCTCCTGTCCCCTCCCCTCCCCTTCCCTTCCATTCCTTTCCCTTCCCAGCTTTGGTACTGGTGACCAGGATACTGGCTGGCCCAGCCATGCTCAGCTGGTCCTAAGCTCCTGGCTGGCAGGGGAAGAGAAACATGGTACTGTACTTTCCTGCTGGGGCTGTTACTTTCCTTTCTTTCTAGACAGGGGCAGAGCTCTGGGGAATGTATGGATGTGAAGAAAGCTTCCTAGAGGAGTTGGCTTTAGAGCTGATCCTACAGGAAATTTTAAAAGGCAGTGCTGTCTAGGGCAAGGGCTGAGACCAGGACTGAGGCCACAGCTGTCTGGGTAGCTGGAGAGCCGCCCTCCCCTGGGAGTTGAGGTTGGGCGGGGAATGGCTGCCTTTCCTGTCAGAATGAGCCCTGCAGATTGATGTTAATGTGAGTGAGAGTCATTGCATTTTCTTGAGCCAAGTTCAAGTGCTTTTCCAAAGCCCTTCCTTTACTCATAATCCCTAGGAATCTTCAGCAGCTTCCTGATCTGAGAAAAGTGATGGAAGGAGTAAGAAAAACAGTCCCAAGGCTATTTACTCATAGAACAAACCAAGGAAGTCTTTTTGTAGACTTTAGTGATTCTTAGTCTCTCTTCAGCTACCAAAGGGGCAACAAAAGAAAAGATTAAAACCAAAAAGGCTTAGGAAATTCTGAGGCAGTTTTGAAGAGAGGAACACATTTCCATGGCTGGATGTGTGGGGAGGGGAAGTCGATAGATTCCTGTTTGAGGACACAAAGGCCAGACTTGGCATATTATTCTTGAGTCCTAAAGCTGAAAGGACTTTCAAGAGTCTCAGCAACTTAAGAAGCAAGGCCCAGCAGGCCTCCTTTTTGCCTGACTGTCCCAGGGAGCCCCATCTTCTTGGTCTTGGTCCAGTGCCACCTAATACAAGTTCCTAGAGCCCAAATTTTGTGGTGCAGTCAAGAGGCAGAATTGAGTCATCCCGCCTCGAGCAAGAAGCTTGCTCAGTAGAGAATGACTGCCTGGGGTTCTGGAAGCCTAGGGGTGGAGGTGGAGGGGTAATATTGGATGTGGCAGCCCAACCCTGGAGGCATCCAGGCTTAGGGAGGGAAGATAATGCAATTTAGTCCCAACTGCTGGAGGTGGAGTAGGACTCATGATCCTCCCTTCTATCATTCCTTCCCAGGGAAAGGCCTGCTTGTTCTTGACGGAAGCAAGTGGTTCCAACACCGCAAGCTTCTCACACCTGGCTTCCATTATGATGTGCTAAAGCCCTATGTGGCTGTGTTCACAAGCTCTGCAAATGCCATGCTGGTGAGCTTCCTATGATCAGCTTCTGGAGCTGTGGGTTACTGGGCTAGTCCTTTGCTCCCTCATGAGGGAGAGCAGATGACATGGGAAAGATCCCTGTGGCCCTGAGTCCATAGTCTTCTGGTAACGACAGTGCCAAATTCCTGCCCTGTGGTCCATTGCTGTATACCACCATAGGAGTGCTGCAGCTCCTAGAGTGTGGGCAGCCCTGGTCCTTGTTTCTACCAGGGCACCTGGCCCTCTGTCTTGCTAAACCAAAGTGGTCCAAGAAGCCTCAGTAAGGTGCCCACTATTGCAAAAGTGAGGACTGTCTACTTTTTAAGAGTATCGGAAAAGCTCTTCACATCTAAAATTGTTTCTGTTCTACTACTGTAGCGTACCACTGTGGTATGTCAGGTTAGACTTAGAGTCTCAGGGCTGGAGAATTATCAGAGATACTCAGGCTAGTCTTTTCCATTGCAAGAATCTCCTGTCCAGTGTGACTGTAGGTCCCCCCGCCCCCATGCTGTGCTGGGGAGCTCATCTCTCAGTCTTCTGCTTGTATATCTAGGTTGCCCTGAGGAGGGGAAGGTGTCTGTCTTGTGGGAGATCTATCTCCAGGTCCTACTGTCTGAGTCTGATACCCAGAGGCTGCCAAATCCACATTCCAGCAGGATGCAGGGCAGGGTAGAGGCTGGGGTGGGTGTGGAGATGGATTTGGTGGTGGAGGACAGGATGTGCACCTGGAGGGCAGTGTGGGTGTTCATATTGTTTTCTATTCCTGGACTCTAGGACAAGTGGGAGGAAAAAGCTCGTGAGAATAAAAGCTTCGACATCTTCTGTGATGTGGGCCACATGGCACTGGACTCACTCATGAAGTGCACCTTTGGCAAAGGAGACAGTGGCCTGAGCTACAGGTCAGGGGGTGCCTTGTAGTTGACCACACTCCTTCCTCCCCAAGCTAGCTCAGAGGGGAGAGCTTTACGGTCCTGGTCAGAGGAGAGGTGCCTTAGTGAGGGAGCTTAAGCGGGGCAGGGGTCGCATGGTGGTTGGAAGAGGGTTGCACAGGGCTTCGCCCCTGGATGAGAGTCTGAGCAGTCTCTCACTCCACTCTTGCCACACAGGGATAGCAGCTACTACCAGACAGTGGCTGACCTCACACTGCTGGTGCAGCAGCGCGTTGACTCCTTCCAGTACCACAATGACTTCATCTACTGGCTCACACCCCATGGCCGTCGCTTCCTGCGGGCCTGCCAGGCAGCTCATGACCATACAGGTGCACCTTCCTGTGGGGCCTACTGATAGGAAGTCTGCATTTTTCTTCTTGGTCCCTCTGCATTTTGCCCATTGTAGATCCTTAGCTCCCTTTTGGGGACAGTCCCCAGGGAGTGACACCTGTGCTCCTGGCCTAGATCATGTCATCAGGAATCGGAAGGCAGTCTTGCAAGATAAGAAGGAGCAAGAGAAGATCCAGCACCGGAGGCACCTGGACTTCCTGGACATTCTTCTGGGTGCTCGGGCAAGTACCTACTGCCCTAGAGGGTCCTCAGACCATCTTGTGAGGGCAGAGAGTGCTGCCAATGAGAAGAGACCATTGAGTACTCCTCTCTTTCCCCAGCAAAAGCAACTTGCTTCTTGCCCCTCAACATATATCTCTAAAGGCACAAAGGTGCAGGGTATGTGGTGTTAGACTACGTATCTTGAAACTGGGGGCCTGAGTCACATGGTGGTGACCTGAAGACATTTTTAGACTTCTGAGATCCTCAAGAATCTTGACATTGTAGAATCTGAGAACTTAGATTTCATTCATTCATTCCTTCATTCAGTTCTTTATTCCTCCATTCCATAAACTCACTGAGTCAGTTCCTGTGTCAGGATGCTTAGATGGGAAAGACTTTGTCCTTGCCCTTCAGATTCTTACAGTCTAGTGGAAGGGACTTATAGTTGGTGAATGTTGACGAGATGCCTTCCTCTAGTAGGTGGCATTCTGTGTGACAAGATACTAGGGCTGACAGTCAGGGCTGGGTAAGGTCACAGGTCATTTGGCCAGAGGGGTGAAGGAGGGAATCATGGAGTAGGAGGCATCCAAGGTGGGCTTAGAACAAAGATATGACCCTGGAGAAGGCTTTTATTCTCAGTCTGCTAAGCAGGTTTCACTGCCCTTGTCAGACCTGCTTTTGATAGCTATTCTTCCAACTTCTTGGAACCTACCTCAAAGCCTTGAGCCTGTTATATCTTAACCCAGGATGAAAGTGGCATCAAGCTGTCTGATGCAGACCTCAGGGCTGAAGTGGACACATTCATGTTCGAAGGTCATGACACCACTACCAGTGGCATCTCCTGGTTTCTCTACTGCATGGCTCTGTACCCGGAACACCAGCAGCGTTGCAGGGAGGAGGCCCGTGAGATCCTAGGAGACCAGGACTCCTTCAAGTGGTGAGTGAGGTTGAGAGGTATCTGACCTGTCCTGCTCCACCCAAGGAGCTCCGCACCATCCTGGAAATAAGGTGAGGGTGGCAGCAGTTGTTCCGCTCCCTCCAGGTCTTCAGCTTTTGGAGTGCTGAATGTGGACATATCTTTTATCTCATTCCCTGTAAATGGAGCCTTTTCACTGTCATACAGAGAAAAGCTAAATAGAACCTCAACAGTCCCTAATGGTGGTTTCCATGTGGCAGTGAGAGACACAGAAGTGACCTTGTCTTTCATAGTTGGGTGCACATACATCTAGGGTCCTGTCCCTTTCCTTCCTCGCAGTGAAGATGGGGATGGGATAGAGGGGTGTAAAGCCAGATCAATGTGTCTGAGTGGCTACCTTCTGTCTAATCTGGCTCAGCTTCTTGTAGCCCTTGGGCCCCTCTAATTCCTGGATGTAAGCTGGTGCTGAGGGGAAGGCAACATGGTGAGGTATGAAGTTGGAGGTGGGTCTCATCTTTCCTCAGGACCCCATTGCTCATCATTCCAAACTGTCTTGTGTTTCTGCCAGGGATGATCTGGGCAAGATGACATACCTGACTATGTGTATCAAGGAGTGCTTTCGCCTTTACCCACCTGTGCCTCAGGTGTACCGCCAGCTCAGCAAGCCTGTTGACTTTGTGGATGGCCGCTCTCTACCTGCAGGTGGGAGGAGGTGGGCTAGGGGGTTGATTCAGGGGCTCCTGGATGTTCCTTTGACACCTCCTGCAACGTTGCCTAACACTCGGCAAGCTTAGGCTTTGTGTTCGGAGAGTCCTGGGTACAAATCCTAGCTCCACAGCACATAAGTTAATTGTCTGCCTCTAAATCTTCATTTCCTCATCTATAAAATGAGGAAAAGAAGAGTACCCCCCTTTCAAGGGTGTTGTCAAGATGAAAGAGACACAGCTCACCAACGCTGCCCCATAGCACCATGCACTTTCAGGTTGTGTCTTGGATAACTTCAGGGCATGATTTGCATAATTTGAAGTTAATGCAGGGCTGCATACAACTTGTAAAACTGTATATAGTAGCTTCATACAGAGTGTTTAGAAGTATACCTGACATGGAGCAATTACCTAATGAAATGGTAGTGACTACTATTGATAGCATAATGTTATGAATAATAGCTTCTTGAGAGTTACTTAATGGACAGCAGAAAGGTTACAGTGGTTTCTGCCTGTCCTACTTTATGGTAGGGTGGGCTCGTATTTCCTTTTCTTTTTTCATGCCATAGATGTCTGTGTCGGGTGCTGTGTTCTATGTTGGTGCTACAGGAACTGGACAGGGTAACAATAAAAATACTTTGAAGAACAGTATTGCCAAGAACTTGAGGTTACTGGCAATGGTCAGGCAGGGCTAGTCACTAGGTAGACACTAGGGCATTCAGGTCCTATGTGGAGGCAAGACTAGCTGCTTCAGGCCCATTTGGTCACCAAGTCTTTCTTCCACAGGCAGCCTGATCTCTCTGCACATCTATGCCCTCCACAGGAACAGTGCAGTGTGGCCTGACCCTGAGGTACCTTGTTTGTGCATTGAGATCAGACAGGGTGGGTGCTATGGGAATTCTCACATGCCAGGACTTGGTGGGTGTTTAAGCAAAGCCTGTGTCCTTAGGTCTTCGATCCTCTGCGTTTTTCTCCTGAGAATGCATCTGGACGCCATCCTTTTGCCTTCATGCCCTTCTCTGCTGGGCCCAGGTAGGGAGAGTCCAGAATCCCCAGTTCCCCAGAATTGAGAAAGAAGGTGGGAGATGCCATTAGGGAGATATTCTTATGGGATATCCTGTGATGAGGAGACTGTATTGAGTTTTTTAAATGCATGGAAAGCTTCAGGGATATTCTTCTTGCTATTATATTCTTTTCCCTGGGAAGTGGGTGGATGGCAGTCATTCCAAGAGAGACCACAAGCCAGAATCCCATCATGCAGCTACTCTGTTAAGGCTTTCGCTATGTTCCCAAGATCTCTTTCTTAAGCCCAGGTCAATCAGTGTATCAAGCAGTTATACATCCAAAAATAGTTACTGATTTTTTGTTAGCCACTAAGAGAACTGAAGTTCATCACTCTGGATATCTCACAGCCCAGTGCCTATATCTGCTCACTGCAGGAACTGCATCGGACAACAGTTTGCCATGAATGAGATGAAGGTGGTCACAGCTCTCTGTTTGCTTCGCTTTGAGTTCTCCCTGGACCCTTCACAGCTGCCCATCAAGCTGCCCCAGCTGGTTCTGCGTTCAAAGAATGGGATCCACCTCCACCTGAAGTCACTGCGCCCTGAGTCTGGGAAGTAACTCTGTAGAGAGTAAAGCTCCAGTCAGCCCAAGCTCTTCCTTCTCCCTGAGCACCGCTCTCCCAGATGAATGTAGAGTAGTTGTAGCTTTCTGCTTTCAGGAATCTTATTGTTTGGGAGGGGAGTAGGCACTGGCACAGAGAACCTCCAGGAGGACAATGCCACTCAAATGTTGAGTGTCTGCAAATACTTGTTACCTATATATTCAAGATCTCATTCATTCACTTAGTTGGGGAGTACAGACTCATCTCAAGAAGTGTCATTTATCTCCTATAATTAACAGTCTTTCTAAAATGTAGGAGAAATGTGCTTTGCAGCCTTAGTGACTTAGTGAATACAGTAGAAGCTTTGCTGTGGATTCATGATTATGACCTGGTAGCATGTGATTGTGGGGTGGCTCAGGGAATTGTCCCTCATGGAGATGTGTTTTTATGTTTAATTGTGTATGTATAATATAATTAAAATGAAGAAAAATTATCTAAATCAAAACTATACAAAATAATGAGTAATTCTAAAGCAAATTCCCATTGCCAAAGTCAAAGAATATTTAGGTTTTGTGGGGCTTCTTCCTTGGCTGAGTGATCCTCTGTGGCATCCTGCATTCTCAGCATTAAGGTCTCAGTCATGTAATGCTCTGGGAATTCACAGTTAGGCCAGGGAAGTTTGGCAGAGTTGTCATTAGAGGGGGACTTCCTGGAGAAAGAAAACCTTCCTTGAATCAGGTGTTGAGTCATGAGTGAGGTAGGAAGGTACAAAGAATTTTTGAGGAAAGCCTCAAGCATGGGGTTACATGATGACTTAGAGGTCTTTTCTGGCAGCTCCTGCAGCAACTGCATGATGGTTATAAGCTCATACACTTCTGGGATTCAAGGTGTAAGGCCAATAAGAGCCTGCAGTCCAGGAATTACACAGTCATAGAAAGAAGAGGACTCAGGATTGGGGTTAGGGACAGGAGAGAAGAATTCCAATTTTGGAACTTGGTGATGGTATCCTTCAGGATACTGCTTTTTTCACTCTCAGAAGAAAGTTTCACTCAGGCTGACCTGCCATACACTATCTGCTAAAGATCCGAATCTCCTTGCCCAACTGAGTATAATTCAGAGGACCTAGCCAGGGTATAACTTTTGGCTGTCTGTTCTGCAACTCATGCTACCAACAGCCTGCTGTGTTCCAGTATCTCAATAGACTGCTCTCTGTACAAGTGAAGATGATCATCACAATCATCACAATTTTGTGGAATGGGAGCTATGCCTCCAGCAGTGATCACCTTATAGAAGATATAGACCTAGGTGGGAGTTAAGCCTTGAGGTCATAACCATCTTATACTCCGGGATGGCATCTGAGCACAACTGTATCCATTTCCTAAGTCCATCCAGACCTTCAGCACCCATGCAGTCATTAAGTGTGGGCAGGGTCAACATCCCCTGATGCGAGTAGACTGTGATCCTATTTCAGTATTAACAGAAGGAGCCTGTGAGACACTCATCTGGGAGGAGCTTGAACTGACTGTATTCCAAGGTTAGTACTGACAGTCTCCTGAGGATGGATGCTGATGGAAAAATAGAGCTGAAAGCTCTGGAATCAGAGTGGAGAGAGGCTCCCTGGAGGAGAGAGGATGGAGGCTGTGAGTGATAGGTGCCACAGATGAGTTCTCTTTAACCCCTCTAGATCTTCAAACACACACACTGCTGGCTCCTGTGACCCTAGAAATGAATGTGTGTGCATGTGTGTGTGGGTAGTGTGGTGTCTGCAAAGGGTGTATACAAGAGTGGCTTATGTGTCTATTCATGTGTCTGAGGGGGTTGTGCATATGAATGGAACTCAACCTGGGTCTTGCCTATTGTTTGGAGGCAGCAAGGTCACTTTTGAGTCACACTTCCATATCCTGTGGAATCCTGTAGTTGCACCCCATGTTCATGGCTGGTCATCCAGAATTCTGAGCTTCTATTGTCCTGTGTGCTCTGAACATGCCCTGCACCACTTTTTGCACCTCCTGATGCTGGGCCTGCTGCTGGACATGCTGTTTGTGATATTCCCAGATAACTCTTTTTCCCAACTCTCCCTTTCCTCTTGGTTTAGAATCCAGTCTGGTCTCTCCTGCCCCTCTTCAGAGCAAGACCAAATGAGCCCAGTGACTTAGGAGGCCAGAAGGATGGGACAGAAGTCTTGGCAGCAGGTTTCAACTTAGAGAGAAGATATAGACCATAACATGCTGGGGACATCAGATGACTGCAGGAAGTTCTGTCTATAGCATCTACAGCTATTGAGGCAACTGGGGAATCTGTGCTCAGAACCAGCAAAACAAGCAGAGGCTTATTTAATGGAGACTCACAGAAGCAAGAACAGAAGACCAGGGAATCTGGTGGTAGTACCTAGAGGGATGCAAGTAGGGAGCAGAACCAGGGTCAGAAGTACCAGGAACCAGGAAGCCTCCAACTGTGGGCAGAGTTGTTGATGCCCCTCATCCTTCAGGGTAGCCAGCCAGGGAGACTTCATGGGGCAGGAGGAGCTGCTTGGGTTGTGACATCCCCTCCCGTCAGGTGAGGAGACTCTTGCCAGCTCTTGACTGACAGTTGTCCATTCTCTTTTCTTTTTTTTTTTTTTTTATTTAAGAGGAAAAAGAGAAAAACACAAAACAAACCAAAGCGGCGTAAGGGTACACGCAATACAGAACTACAAAACAAAACAAAACAAAACAAAACAAAAAACCATAACAGTAAGAAATTACCTGCTAGTAGATTACACACTATTTTCTTGAAAATAGTTCCTCAAATCACAGTATCAAAGAACACAAGGTGGACATTCAAACAGGGAGACTGCAAACAGCTGTGTTCAATGTTCCAAAAACATTGATAAAGTCAGCTATTTAACACCCCCAAACACACTTGCTGTTATATCCGTTAGAGCTCTTTTTCTTTTTTTTTCCCCTCTCTTTTTTACAACAAAATTTACACATCTTGGATTTTATTACTCCTTAGTGCTTATTACTTTCTTTGGGGGGGGAAGAATACAGTCAAATATGGCAAAACAAAGCTGTCAGTCAATACCAAGGATAGACGTAGCACATGGTGTAGAACAGAGTACAAGTTTATCAACAATGGTTATCAACGTTGTCCCTTGTTTCCTTAAAAAGAATTGTCTATCTTATTAGATATTATAAGGTTGGACAAAACAGTAGAGAACAAGACCAATAAAACTTAGGCATTGTAAACATTACAGGACTTCCAAAGAAGACAATAGTCAAACCAGAATGGGTATCTTAGTGAATCTTATTGTCTTCAAAGTAGTTGCCTATGTCTTCAAACTTGATACTATCATATAGAATGGAACAGAGTCTAATCAGTCAAAACAAGATCGTGGGAGTACTACAGGACTTCAAAACAAGTTAATAGGAAATCGAAAAGAGTTACTATTTATATATCCTAATTTTTTTGAATTTTTTCTTTAATTAAGACAAACATAAGAAATGACTAAATAATTTTTTTTTGAAACAATAAGGGGGAGATTGAGATAAAACAGGACATAACAATATAACAATAGAGGTCACAGCATGACTGTTTCAATAACCTAGTACTTTACCACCTTATAACCTGACTTAATAGTAGTTACCATAGTGTCTTTTTCCTTGAAATATTTGGGTAAAACTTCATATACTCTAGCTTCAAATATTTTCATATCAAGAAGCCCAGAATAAAGCCTTTCTAATTAATGAGTGAAAACTTTATAAGGCTTCAAGGCCACCTAATGGGGAATCATGATTACCACATATTTTTATATATTTGAATCATTACTTACATTAGGGAAACTATTCGGTATTCACACATGCGAGATTGATTTATTTCACTTATGAGTATGGTCTCAAGCTGTGCCCATTTATTGATAAATATCTCAATGTGATCCTTCTTTATAGCTGAATAATACTCCATTGTATAGAAATACCACAACTTTTTTATCCATTCCTCAGTTGATGGGCACTTGGGTTGTTTCCAAGATCTGGCGATTACAAATTGTGCTGCTATAAACATAGGTGCACATATATCACTGTGGTATGATGCTTTCAGTTCTTCTGGGAATATGCCTAGAAGTGGAATAGCTGGAATAAATGGGATTTCCAGTCCCAACTTTTTGAGAAATCTCCAGACAGATCTCCACAAAGGCTGTACCAGTCTACACTCCCACCAGCAATGCAGGAGAGTTCCTTTTTCCCCACAGCCTCTCCAGCATTTGTTGTCGGTTTTCTTGATCCTGGCCATTCTTTCAGGAGTGAGATGGTATCTCAGTGTGGTTTTAATTTGCATTTCTCTAATGACCAATGATGATGAGTATTTTTTCATGTATTTATTTGCCATTTGCATTTCTTCATCTGAGAATTGCATATTCATCTCAGATGCCCATTTTTGGATTGGATCTTTGAATTTCGGAGGTCTGAGTTTCTTTAATTCTTTGTATGTTTTAGACAAGAGGCCCTTGTCTGAGAGAGAGTTCACTAAAATCTTTTCCCAGTTTGTGGGTTTTCTTTTCACTATGCTGGAGATTTCTTTTGACATGCAGAAACTTTTTAATAAGAAGTGGTCCCAGTTATTGATTCTGGGAAGTATTTCCCGTGCGGTTTGAGTCCTGTTCATGAATTCTTTACCTACTCCTATGTCTCCAAGGTTTCTACCTATTTTGTCTTCCAATAGATTTAGTGTTTCTGTTTTAATATTCAGATCTTGGACCCATTTACATTTTAATTTAGTACATGGTGATAGACATGGGTCTAGCTTTAGTTTTCGGCAAATGGAGAGCCAGTTTTTCCGGCACCATTTATTAAAGAGACTGTCGTTCTTCCAGTGAACCTGCTTGGCTCCTTTATCAAAAATAAGGTGGTTGAGTGTGTTCGTAGTTGTGGTTGTATCTTCTAATCTATTCCACTGATCTTCAGCTCTGTTTTGATTCCAATACCATGTTGATTTTACTACTGTTGCTTTGTAGTATAACTTCAAGTCAGGGATTGTGATGCCTCCTGCTTTGTCTTTGCTGCTTAGAATTGCCTTTGCGATTCTAGGTCTCTTCTGGTTCCAGATGAAATTTAGGAGTGATTTCTCTAGATCTATAAGGTATGTTTATGGTATTTCTATTGGGATTGCATTGAATCTGTATAACAGTTTTGGGAGAATGGCCATTTTCACAATGTTTGTTCTTCCTATCCATGAGCAAGGGATGTCTTTCCATTTTCTGAGATCATCTTCAATTTCCTTTTTCAGTGTATTATAATTTTCACTGTATAAGTCTTTCACTTCTTTCGTAAGAGTAATTCCTAAATATTTCATTTTTTTGCTTGCTAATGTGAATAGTCCAGTTTCTCTTATTTCCCTCTCTGTAATTTTGTTGTTCGTGTATAGGAATGCTATTGATTTCTGAGTATTGATTTTGTATCCAGCCACATTACTGAATTTATTTATTGTATCTAAGAGTATTTCAATGGAGTTTAGGGGGTCTTCTATGTA